ATAGTCGAACTTTCCTACAGCCCTCTCCCTGTAACCCTTTTAGGGATCCCCATTTCCTCATTTCTAAATTAAGGACTTTGGCTCAGATCAAACTTGTATTGTTCGTGTGAATTGGTTCCTCTGAGCTTTTTAAAAAGGATTCCAGATCCCACCCTCACAGACTCTGATTCTGTATGTCGGGGTGTGGCTATGGAATCTGCAGTTTTACCTGCCTCACCCCGCAACTCCCCTCTCAAACGCGCACCACATTGTTTGAACAGCTGCCTCTGTCACCGCAGGATGACCTCAATGCTTTCCTAAAGTCTCAGAACCTATGAAGGTCACCTGTGCTTGAAACTGTGCTTGCTTACAGAAACAGACTGGATGTCAGTAACCACCATGCTACAAGATGGGAAAGAAACTCAGAAGTGCTACCCTAACCTGAATCCTTGCTAATTACCATACCTTAATCTTTGCCCTGGGGAGAAATGCAGCTTGCTAGGTACATGTAGTGTTGGGGTGCACAGGAAATACGAGACTGCCGCGCTCAGCGCTTTCTGGAAAGCCCCACCTCTTTCCAGGAATCCTTGCTCTCCAGCTACGTGCCCTAAAAGACCTTAAGAAGCACCCCCACACTACACCCCAGGCACTTTGAGCAGGAGCTCCCCTACTCCATCCCTTGATCAGTGAATAGTTTCTGCTCTACTTAAGGGAACCTGGTCTCGTTCTATGGGCGTGAACGGCACTGGGCAGGGATAGGACCCACCAGGGTCAAACGACCCTCTTGAGATTCAGGAAAACCCAGACGATCTCCAGGTATCTTTTCAGGAGTAAAACTCTTGGTCTTTGAAGCTGAGGGGCGGGGAAGGGAATTACCACACTGGCGGCTGCCCAGCTCCTCATCCAAAACCTCCTTGACTTTGGGCTGAGGTCCTTCTGCCTATTGCTTTTGTCAGCCATCCCCCTAAGAGAACTCCAGGTCCGACCCAGAAAAAGAAAAACCACTCACAGAACCGGAGAGTCTGTCCACACAGTGCACGTGCCAGTCAGCGCCCACCGCTCTGGATTCGCAGGTGCCGGAAAGGCTGCTCTTTTGTAGCTCTCAGCTGAACTTTTCCCGCCTAGAAGAGCGCGCCGGCGCGCGGCAGGAGCCTGGGAATTGACACTCTCGCTGGCCAATGGACGAAGAGTCTCTGAAGGCTGTTTTTCTCTCATTGGATGTAAATGACTCATCTCTGGCCTAGGGGACTGCGCGCCAACCCGTCCACCCTCCCTATTTGGCTGGATGACCCACGCGGGTCTTAGTGATCCCTTCCCCCTCACCACTGAGTCCAAGGCCAGCTCCCGCTTCCCAGGATAAACTAAGCAATCACTGCCCTGCTCCTTCCCGCTCATAAGCGTCCCCTGTCTCCCAGTGGAGGCCAAGGAGGAGCTGCGCGGCAGCTGGGCCGAGTGGGAGGCGCCTGGCGGTTTCGCGCTTTCCGACTTTTGATTGCGAGCGGGAGCAGCGCGCTGGCGGGAGCTGCAGGGCGAATAACCCGCCAAGTTGCTTCGGTGTGTGGTAGTTGCTGCCGTTCTGCAGCTGCGAGGTGGGCGACGATGGCCGGACGAGCATCCAGGCGGGATCCGCTGACCGCAGCAGAGAGAGCTCCACCCGTATGATGCAGAGACCCAGTCTCAGAGCAGGCTGCACCCGCGTCTGCGTGAAGTCTACAGATACCTGGCCTGCTCTGCAAATGAACTAACTTCGCAGAGGGGCTGGCGAACACAGACAGTGCCAGCCTGGACAAGGAAGCGGCCAGCACTGCTTAGGCCGGGTTCTCAGGACGCGCATTACTGAGTGAGGTACTTTACCCTTCGAATGAAGACTCCAGAGTTCGGCCTCCCCAAACTGATATCAAAGAAGTGCTTTGCATGGGGCTTGAGAAAACATGTTACTGTTTAAGAAAAGAACGTCTTACTGTCTGAGACCCTGAATAGAGAGAGATGCCTTTAAGTATTGGGTGTTATTTTTGAGAAGTTGGTCAAAGAAGGGGAGAAGATGGTTGATTAAGTGGGAGTGGTGACAATTATTTTGTAATTCATAGAAGGACAGATGTTTATGTAAAAGTTGATAGTTTTGGTGGAATAATCATGAACATGTTTCTGAACTTAATGTAAAATATACAGAGACCTCTAAAATCACTGCTTAAATTACACGGGTCTTGTGGTTTTCAGAAAGAGCAAACTTTAGAAGTATAATTGTAAAAATAATGTCATACAGACAAAGAGAAGAGAAAACTTAATGACAGCTTTCTCAAATCGCTGTTATTCCTGAATCATCTGAAAGCAGTACACGTGACTGGCACCAATATACATCAGCAAGTAAATCGTTGCAAAAGGATTGGTCTTCTTTTTTGTAGAATCTGGAGGAAAAAAATCTATGAAAAGCAAGAAGTGGTAGAGAATGATGTTGTCGAAATTGCCTGACATCATTGGAGATAGAGAATTTAACCTGGAAAAAGGCGCTCCTGAGGGAGGAGCATCTGCACATTCCATTAGCATAAAGCACCTGGTCGGCCATATGAAGAAGTCTGGATTTTGTCATAAATGTGAAATTTATTTTAAATGGAGGATTTGAAGCAAGGGAGTAATATACCCTGACATATTTTTTAAAATCACCCAAGCAGCTGTGCAGGGTACAAACTCTGAGAGGACAAGAAGAGATGTGGAAGGGAGAAGGCAGCTAAGAGTCTATCCCAGGATGGCAAAGATGTTGGAGCCGGCCTCAGATGGTAATGGTGGAAGTGTTAGAAATGGCTGGATTCCACATTTATTTTGAAGGGCCAGACCATGGAATTTGCTTATGGATGTTCCATAAATAAGAGAAACAGAGGGCTCAGTGATGATTCCTGGGCTTTTGACTTGAGCAACTAGAAGTACAAAGTCTCCATTAACTGATATGGGGAAGTCTGAGGAAGGAGATGCTGTGTGTGCCAGGACTGGGGTGTGTGTGTGTGTAATTCTTCTTTTGACATGTTGAATTGGAGATGCTAATCCACTCCAACTGAAAAATAAGGAGGGAAGTGGACATTCAACACATAATGTTGCAACCTCCACCTCCTGTATTCAAGCAATTCTCATACCTCAGACTTCTGAGCAGCTGGGATTACAGATGCCTGCCACCATGCCTAGCTAAGTTTTGTTTTTCTAGTAGAGATGGGGTTTCACCATGTTGGCCAGGCTGGGGTCGAACTCCTGACCTCAGGTGCTCTGCCTACCTCAGCCTCCCAAAGTACTGGGATTACAGAGGTAAGCTACCGCGCCTGGCCTGAGAAATATAATTAAAGTACAGGGAAAATTAAAAGGGAGAAGAAAGTTCACAGATATCACAGCAAACGATAAATACAAAAGCCTGCCTTGTTTCCTAGAGCCCCTGTGTCTTAGGTGCCCTGAATTTTACCTCCCAGCGGACCACTCTTGTCCCTTCATAATGGCGCTCCAAGCAGCACCGCTGCACACCAATTCCGAAGCTTCCCTGCTTCTTGAGTTTAGGAAAAGTTATGCTTCTACTTCCTCTTTATTTGCTTATCACTGGAGTAGCAACTGAACCACGCAATTGGGATAAGTAACCTGATGCCATTTTGGGGAGCAATCTTTCATTTCTTCCTTACGTATACAACTGACCCTCACAGAGAAACTGTCTAGAGCAATAGGTCCAGAGTAGAGCTCTAGCTTTGCTTTTCACTTTGCAGCTGTGCTCTGTTGGGCCACCAAGGAAAACTCACTTTCAGCTAATGCTTATATGGGGCTATGGAAGTTGTCTAACATCCCTGGGGACAGAGTGTTTGCCCTGAAAAGGAACATTCCCTTGACACAGAGCATCGTGTTGGCTGGATTTTAATATAAATATGACAAGAATACTTTTGGCCAAGTAACTGGTGGTTGGGTCATTTTGTGGTTTGCAAACCCATAAAGAGGAAAAGGCCTCTCACGTGGTTGGGAGAGGTGGGAATGGATCAAGCACTAAGGTTAAGTCTGGTGAAGTTAGGGAATAAGGCCAGTGTTTACGAAGAGTGATTCCTTCATGAGCCCCTGAAAGATGCTATTGAACCCTAACAACATTCTGGGAATACAGAGGAAGGCCCCACTGCCTCTACCTTGAGAGCATATCACAGAGAAAGATTTATATTTGGACTAGATTGATGAGAGCTGAGTAGGAGTTTGATAGAAGAGAACAGGGAACTGTCTGAATGTACAATGGCAGAAGTGGCAGGAAAGGCTGAGGAGAATTGTCCTCTGGGAGTGGGTTAGAGATATGGGCCTGGGCACCACATTCTGGAGCTTGCAATGGGGTGTGTAAAAGCTTAGATGGGATGGTCTTTTCCTGTCCTGTGACTTCGTAGTGGGCTCACCTCACTCACTGTTGCAAACAAGCTGCCCCCATTTGAGAGAGAGCTGGCGTGGGGTCTCTAAGCCTCCAGCAACCACTTGGGAGCCAGCCTTGAAGCCCTGGCAGCTAACTCTTCCCATGGAGACCCCATAGTCCATTCTGTCTTGGGAAGACAACACAAGCTTGCGGAAGGTAACATTCCCCCTCCAGACTCCAGAGGCTCCAAGGAGACTCGCTATCTTCAAGAAAAGAAATATTCACTGAGCCGCGGATGGAGGTGAACATGGTTTGGGACTAACATGCGGCTGGATGGTTTCACCTCCATGGTCATACAATGGTACTGGGAGATGAATGGGGTAGGGCGATCAAGATTTAGTTCAACATCAACTTCCGGTGGGGCGGTGATTGGTAGTTGACTCATTTTGGCCCCATTTGATATTCGCAGTCACCAGTTGGGGTAGGTGTGACTGTTGCTCCCATTTCACAGATGAGGACAGGATAGTTTGCTAGAGGTCACAGGACTAGTTGGGGAAGGGAAAGGGTGTCAGGTAGGATTTTAACCTTAGAACCTCACGTTTTCTTAGGATCTTTCAGGGAGACCTTGGGGAAATTCCTTTCTGTCTTGGTTGGGGCGGGGGGGTGTCTCCATTCCTTATTTGTAAATTAAGGAGTTCTTCCAGTTTGTGATTCTCTGCACTTTAACGTTTAAACGTATCACTTGGATAGGTTTTTAAAAATAAGGATTCTGGGAACCCCAATATGTTTAAGTAGAGTAGGTCTGGGGTGACGCCCAGGAATCTGCAGCTTTTAACTAACCCGGGCATCAACAAAACTGGCTGAGAAGCTCAGGCAAAGTTTATGATGAGTGAAAATCTTATTGTGAGCTGTCCAAAACACATAACGCTGAGCTCCATCTGCAGAGATCCTGTTTTGATATGCTTGGTTGGACTGTGTCTTGGTAATTTGCATTTCTCAGAAGTGAGGCCAGTCAGCTGGTCAACCACCCCGCCTGTCGCTCTGTGACCATCCCCGATCGTCCGCGGTGCTTCTTTACTTGCATCTTGTGGGAATGACATCTGCGCAGGCAGCCCCTTTTTAAGCACTGCCACGGGCACGTGAGCCTAGCCCTTAAAATCCCAGCCCAGCCCTGGATTTGCAGATACTCAGGGCAGGGCAAGGCGCCTTTCCACGTTTGGTGTAGTCATGCATGCTGCCATAAGATGGCACCAGAGAACGCGCCTACCGGGATAGGGCAGGGCAAGGAGGCGGGGAAGAAAAAAAAGCGACGAGTGAAGATTGACATCCCTTAAGTTCAATCTTTGGTTCTCTGACTCCCAAGCTTCCCATTCTCTTAGGAGGCTGCATTTGTGGCGCTAAAAGAAGGGATGAGCGTGGGAGATGCCGGGACATGTGCTCGCTGAAGATACACCTGTTAGTCCAAGGTAACTCCCGCTCGTAGTGGCTCAACCATCTTTGTTAATTCCCCTTCCTCTCAGTTAACTAGGGCTGCTTCACCTGTCTCTAGGCAAACCTACTCCCCATCGCGCTGGGTGTTTTGGAGTTTTTAAAAGCGTCACAGGGTAAAGTCAGCTTTGTGCTTTTCCTTTTCTCAGCAGGTAAGAATTTCTGGCGCTGACAGCGGGGAGCTGCAGGGCGGGAGCGGGGTGAAGAGAGAATAGGGTGAGAGATAACAGGTGTGAAGCGTCCGTCAGTGCCAGGCATCGTGCTTTGGCACCTTCCATTAGTTTGTCCCAATCATCTTTCTATTTAATTCATTTTCTGTTCACAGATTAGGAAACCTCAACTAAGTGGCCCAAGGACAGTTCTTGGATAATTTTAGCTTCTGTCAGACGCCAAAGCCTAAGGTCTTTTATTTTGCAGAGGCTACTTTGGCAGGATTTCAATGCGCGCAGGTCCTGCCAATCACTGCTCCTCACTCACTGGTCCATCCCGCTGTCCATGCATTCATTCAACCATTCATTTCTTAGGGGCTCCTCTGCAAGGCGTGGGGCTAGTTGCTACTAAAAATACAAAAGAAAAGGGACGCTGATGTCAAGTAGAAGAGATTTTTTGAAAAGGTTTACATAGAATTGAGGTGCTCAGCATGGTTTCGACCTTTCCCCCCAACATGCTACTGATTCCTATTATGTTCCACATAATATGATGGATTCTGAAGATACAGAGATGGGTGAGATCTATCCTTGCCTTTCAGGAGCTCGCTGTCATAGGCAAGAGTAATCTCTGAGGTTTAATTTTACATACCTACTTTTTAACAAATTGAGCATCAACTATGTATATTCTACTGTAATTAATATATTAAGTAATTAAATATTACACACAATTTCTTATTTTTTAGTTGAAGATTAATCTACATGGTGGTTCAAGTATGTCCTTTGTTCACCCTAGTGGACCATCGTAGGAGCTTCGTGGAGTGCTTCCTCAGACTGCAACCCTACCCCCCTGGTATGTGCTTGGCTCTATTCCTTCTTTCTGTAGCTTTCTGTCAAATGCCAGGCTTTTAGGGAGACTGGTCCTGACCCCTTCCTGTTTTCTCTCCTTTTTACTTGCTCCTATCTGAGGCCTCTTTTCTTGTTTCTTTGTTGTTCTTTCTCCTTCCATCATCCTCTGTGGTCATATTATGTGTTGTTTTTCATACACCACATCGGAGTTTATAGGAAATATGTTTACTGCTTTTTTAAAATTTTTGGTTTAGTTTCTGCCTCCCTGCTCCAGAATGTAAGCTTCAAGAGGGGCAGTGAGGAGTTCTTAACACCCATCCCTGACCGAGAAATGGTCCAGGATGGAGCGAGACAGCTTTGCCCGGTACATCCTGAAATCCCCTGAGGTGGGGGTGGAAGTGGAGGGAAGATCAGGGAATGTCCATTCATTTTATGAAGCTGAGGTTGGGTTAAGTCCTATTATATACTGTGATGTTGGTTGTTAATCTCAACCTGAAACCCTCATCACTAGTCATTCACTTTTTACTAGCTTTGTGACCTTGAGTGAAGGTTCAAGTTTACCTTGTTTCTTTGCACCTCAGTTTCCTTATGTATAAAGCAGAAAAAATGAAATTTGGTCATCCTAAAATGTGAGGTCATAGGGAATCAGTCCCTTGAAGGTAAAAGACAAACATTTGTGGATTTATAAGGCGGCAGAAATGATATTCTTCTGAGGGTCAAAGAAAGATATTTGTGGATTTGAGAGTCTTCAGATATTATATCAGTAGCATATTTACATGCAGAAAATACTGGATAAACAAGTTTAACTAATCAAATAGGCACAGAGATCTCAGATAGGAGCAGATAATAAGGTGAGGAAACAGTGGTGAGCAAAAACAATCTGATGAATTTTATGTAGAGGGTTAACTCTAAATGGACAATGATAGGCTCTCTGGGAATGTGTAATAAAAGTTTTAAAGAAGGATTCTTTAAATAGTTGTGACACACTGCAAGGGAAATTCTATGACACCTGGAACTAAAACACCCAGGGATTGGGTTCAGGGGGATGAGGGGTAGAGGAATAAAAGCATTTTGTATCACTTAACACACTCATCTTAATGGGAGGAGGGAGCAAAACAGGGAAATGATTCTATGGAAGATGTCAGCTTATTGAGGTGAAGGAGGAAACGGCTAATAGCTGTTACTTTATTTTATATAATAGTAAAGAAATTTGTGTTCAATTATGAGCACTAGAAACAAACACTAGTGAGTGAATAAAAAGATAGTAAGGGATTATGATGGATAAGTCAGTTAATAAGAGAACTTGATGGATAAGCAAAGTAATAAGGGTCCACAGTGGAGGCAATTTCCCTTTTTGAAAAACATTATCTTTGGAATATACACAGGATATAATTTTCAAAAGAAACAAAGTATATATAGGGGAAACAATTTTCACTCATTCTCGAGACACTCAGTCCTTTTCCATAGATAATCTATGGCTATACAAGCATAATAATTCTTTTTCAATATATTTTCTCAGCAACTAAGAAGTTCAGTGTTTGTAATAATAATAAGAAGAGTGCTCATCTGGCCTGAAATATAAAGTTTTACATTAGATATTTGTCTCATAAATAGTTTCTAAGAAGTCAGGTAATATGCTTACAAGGGGATTACCAAGGCCCTATACCACATGAGTTTGGGGGCACAGGGAGATCAAGATTTAGAACAAAGTTAGGTGAAATCTAGGGCCAAAGGATAGCAGAAGGGTGTGGGTGTGTGTGTGTGTGTGTGTGTGTGTGTGTGTTGGGTGGGGCAGATGGGAACCTTTGGAGAATGGCTGTAGGCTGCTAGTGCGGTGCTATGATCTCTAGGCCTTGGTAGGTCCTTGTGAAGAGACACGGTTCTGAAAGTTTGGCACCCTTATAGGGTTTTTAATGTTTTTGATATCCACAGGAGTGACCCTGGACATCATTACTAAAACTTAAAAATTTCACCCCTGGGCACACAGGTTACCCTTCTTGTGGTGGCATGGCAAAGCTCGATTTGCAAGAGTTTCTTTTGGACTGTCCCCAGTGTATCCCTTTAAAAATAGGAGGTCCTCCAGGGTGAGGAATGAAGAAGAAAATATCCCCTTGTAACCTATTTTCTTGTCTTCATTCCAAGGACTCTAGAAAGGCACAGCAGGTTGGTTTTGAAATCTGGGTAATTTTAGTGCTGTCCATTCTCCCAAGTGGATGCCTCTAGTAAAGGTAAAAGGAAATACTGTTTTCTGTGTCAAGGGAAGATTTATATGCAAATTCCAAGACTCAGATGTTATTTCAGAGGAGTTGGTGTCCCTAGTAAAGTAGAACTGGCCAGGTTCATCGGCCAACAAGGTCAATGGTATGAGGCAAATATGAGGAAACTGGCAGATCAGGAGGGGTGGAATCTTGAATTCTAGGTGAAGAGAGGATCAATGTGTTGAGCAAACACATGGCTGTCTTCTTATTTCCTATATGAAATCGTGGAAAAGACTTTAGAACAAACAATAAATAAGTTATAGCAGGAAAACAAAGAGCAGTCTTTTGGCCGGAAATAGAAACTGTTAAAAAGAAAAACAAAACAACAGAAATAAAACACACCTTTAAGTTTGAAAGCGACAGAAGTTAAAAAGTGGAAAGTTGCCTGGAATGTGCTTTTATTGCAGCCTGTCTAATAAACCCGTCCCCACTCTATCTTCGTGTCCTTGCTTATCCTAAGCAGCATGGTGGCAGCCATGGCATTCATCAAGCTAAAGTGGTCGTTTTTGGCACTTGGGCTTGAGATGGCAGTGAAGTGGCATCGCTTGTCTGGGGAAATGCCAGAGGTTTGTTATCTCACACTATGGAAATTGAAGATGTGGACACAAAAGGAGTGGGTTTAAGAGCGAAAGTTTAATAGGCAAAAGAAAGAAGAGAGAGTTTCCTTGTGCATTGGAAGGGTGTCTGAGCAGGTTTCCGGGTATGGGGTGAGTTGTGGTTGGTTTTATAGATCAGCTTGAGGAGGCAGTGTCTGATTTACATAGGGCTGAGAGGATTGGTTGGAGCAGGTGTGCCATTGATGCAATACATGAAGAGGCTGGCCATCCCACACTAATCTTTAGTATGCAGATGGGGCCTCTACCTGGCCTGTGCCATGTCGCCTGCACACGTGAAGACAAAGAAAAGGGAATAGGAGGCCAGGTGCCATAGCTCATGCCTGTAATCCTAGCACTTTCAGAGGTCAAGGACGGTGAATCATGAGAGGTCAGGAGTTCAAGACCAGCCTGACCAACATGGTGAAACCCTGCCTCTACTAAAAAAACAAAACAAACAAACAAACAACAAAATTAGCCGTGCGTGGTAGTGGGCACCTGTAATCTCAGCTACTCAGGAGGCTGAGGCAGAGAATTGCTTGAACCCGGGAGGCGGAGGTGGCAGTGAGCTGAGAACGCACCACGGCACTCCAGCCTGGGTGACAGAGCGAGATTCCGTCTGAAAAAAAAAACCCAAAAAACCAAAACCAAAACAAAACAAACAAAACAACAACAACAACAACAACAACAAAAATGGAAGAGGAAGCCTCCATGTTGAGTATGCCTGGCTTCCAGGTACCCCTTTTCTATTTATAGGTGCCGGCATTTAACTATGCAAGCTTTTAGCTTGCTTATCTGTGCTTGTGGCTTGATTTTTCAGGCTGATTTTTGTTAGAAAAGAAAGTATATGGGGGCTGCTTTTTCATTAAAAGAAAACCCTTACCGAGGGCTCCCTTACCTACACTAACTGCTTAATAATTTCTTTTAACTCCTGTATCAGCAGTGCTTGCCCCTGATAGGTGATGATCATGAGGGGGAACAGGAGCCTCTAGGCTTAGAGACAAGTGGCCAGCGCTCTCCTGATGGAGTGTTTCCCTCCCCAGCACCCCCTGCTGGTCAATTTGACAAACAGATGAACAGAAGTTCTCAAATACACAATAAACAGCCCCAATATCACCAGAAATATCAAGTTGGGATGGCATTTTTTCAAATTGTCATTATATTTAGTCTGCATCATTTGTTGCTTTCTGAGGGAAGTTTTTTGAGTTCTCCCACTAAGACTGTGGATTTGCATTTTTCTTTTTGTATGTCTGTCAGCTTTTGCCATATATATTTTGTAGTTGCGTTGTGTTGTGAGGCAGATTCATGATCTATGTTGTGGGAGAATTCTGTATTTAGCAGATGTTCATCTTACGTTCTATTTTGCCTAGTATTGAAGATATTACTTTGCTTTTCAATTTCACATTTATTTAGTGTATCTTTTTCCTTTGCATGAACCCCAGTGTGTTATTTCAGATATGCTTACTTATGTACTGACAGTGACCCCCAAATTCATATGTTGAAGACCCAACTCCCAATGCCCTTGGAGGTGGGCCTTTGAGAAGTAATTGGGTTTAGATTAAGTCATGAGGGTGGAGCCCCCATGATGGAATTAAGTCCTTCTAAGAAAAGGGAGAGAGTCTGAGTTCTCCTCTGTCTCCACTATGGGAGGGCACAGAGAGCTAACAGCCATCAACAACCTGAGAGAAGTGGACTGAGAAGAAAACCTCACTAGAGCCTTGTCATATAGCTTCCCAGTTTCCAGAAGAGTGAGAAATCAATTTCTGTTATATAAGTCACTCTGTCTATGAAATTTTGTTATGACAGCCAGAGCTGATTAATGCATGTTCTTGGACGTTGTTTTTAACTCAGTATGAAAAACATATATTTTAATAAGAAAATTACCCCATTCATTTTTAGTGTGTTTATTAATACTTTTGAACTTATTTGTGCCATATTTAAGAACTCCTCTTTCCTCTTTCCCACACTTGTTTTTTTAATCCAAGTGCATGATAAGGTTTAGGAATCACTATCTTAACAGGACCACGAAGGGCTAGATAAGGGAAGCTGGCTTGCATTCAGGGAAGAGGCAGAGGAGAGAAGTTGCCAGCTGGGCTGTGCTAAGATGACCGGAGCCCCAGACCCCGGATGTAGAGCCTCTTCTGGACACAGGACATGCCAGAGGCAATATTTTGAAATAGGCAAATTTTATTTCCTTTGTGTCTTTCGTCATCTGTATTAGCTTTTGCCTCTTAAGTGCCAAAATATAGCTGTTTATATATTTCCCCAAGTTCTTGAGTTTATTGTGTGAGAATTTTCCACCCTTTGAAATCCCAAATGACATGTTTCCTCTCTTTCTCAGACCATGCTTTCATTTCAGTCAATGTAACATTTCAGCCAGGTCTTAGGAGTTTAGAAATCTGATTGGATTGATTCATACTAAGCTGTAACAGATCTACCACAGCCTTCCAAGATGAATTGGAGTTTTTTAAAAACTCCATGACCTACACAATTCTTTAGGTGCTGGAATTGCACACTTTCAAATCGCATCAAGTATAAACATTCAATTGTGTGGAGGTTTATTTTTTAAGGAGAGATGAGGATAGGTGTTGGTTAATACTGCTAGACTTTATTACAAAAGACAATTCTGTCAAGATTTCTTTTGTTTTTTAAATCTAGACAATCAGAAAGAGTGAAAATGCCAATTTATTTTTTTCTTTTTCCTATAGCTGCAATGTTCACAGCAATCCAAGTTCCCATAATAGGGTGGGAGAGCAAAGCCAAATGAGGCCATGGCTTTTTTGTGAAGTGTATTTCTTTTTTTTTTTTTAGATCAGGGATTCAGAAATTTTAATATAAGTGTTCAATTAGAAAGTTATTATGATAGTGCATGGCACGTGTCCTTTCCATCATCTGGATTCTTCCACTTTTTTTGTCTGGCTCACTCTTACTCACTCTCCAGTCTTCATCTTAGTGGTCACTTCTCTCCAGAATGCCTGTGACCCCTTAAGATAGCAGTGCTGCAAATACCAAAAGCTGAACTTATAACCAGACTCACAGGCAACACCTTGTCCTGTGCCATGCTTCACTAATGATGAGGAAATGAGAAAGGGTAGGAGAAAGGAGGCAAAACAAATGTCATTTCCATCGCAGAGGCCTCAAGGCCAGCCCACTTGATTCTCTGGAGATCCTATTCTGCATAACAATGATGAAAGGTAGCCTGGGAAAGCCATTTGTCTGAGGCTTCACCTTTGATACATTACTAGTTACTAAACTAAGACACAGATTCCATTCTTTAGTGTGGCCATGCCTCATAAATCCATACATAGCAGGGCTATTTATTTCCAATAAAGTATCCATATAGATTAGGTATATTCTATTGACAATTTTATTAAAGTTCTTCATTTATCTTCCAGATAGTAGATTCTATCAACCAAGTTACATAAAGAGTTCTGATTCCCAGAGGTAAGAACTGAGCCTGGCTTTCTGGTGACATGTTTACTGGTAACCCCATCCTTCCCTACAACGCTTAAGCATATTTAAAGACTATACCCTCCCCTGCCTCCAGCCTGGATTGTGAGCTCCTCAAGAGCATGGCTGTGTCTTTTAACATCAAGTCTCCATGTGCGAAAGAGTTCCTGCCGTATCATAAATGCCCAATCAACATTTGTAAGTGAAGAAAGCTATTCTGTGGTGTCTGCTTTAATATTAAGAGATGGCTTGCCCAAGATTGCTAAGCAGCTTCATTGTCTAAAATGGAACTAGATTCTGTGGGTAGCAGGTCCATTGGTGCCACTCACAGGAGGCCTCAAAGAAACCCGCCAACCCCACTGATCTGCAGGAGTCTTTATTGTCTTCCAGTACAGAGACGTAAAATGGTATATTCTTCTGACACAGATACTTCTGGTGTCGCACCAGCAGCTGTGCCATGTTGCCTTTCTTTCGGTATTTTTTCATGCAGTAGCCCATTACTACTTCACAAGAAGGGTCCATGGTTATCCATGAGATTGGGGTCCCCTCTGGGCCGAGCACACAGGCTGCTGGCAGGACTTCTATGCAGCGCTTGATGTAACGCAGGCTCCTCTCATTCTTCCCTCGCTTCCAATTGTCATTTACCAGCCCGGAATAAGAGCTATCCAGCTGGGCATAATTAAAGTTGGGAGTTTTCCTGTAGAAAACGTAAAGAAAGACAACAACTTTCATCCCCACTCTTGTAATTTCTGGGTACCATTCCATTCTAGAGATCCCAGGCCGTCTTCTTGTTTAAAGACCCACCAGTGCAAAGTTGCATATTTTGACCATTGGTAACCTTTATTCATCCCAAGCAATGCATTCATACTCTCTTCACTCCAAAACTGATTTATGTGAGTTACAAAAATGTACAAGGAATGGCAATTATAAATGATCAGCACATGATTTTTGTACCTCTCAAATTCATCATCTGGTTGGCCTATCTCTGCCCAGCTTCCAAGCTTGCTTTTATTGGAGGCATGGAGTTTCAGGAAATCTTCTGTAATGAAGAGGCCTGCTCTTGAATGCTCTACCTTCACTGAATTTGAAAATGCAGCCGCTCTTATCTCCTCACCCAAACTTTCTTGAAGACCTGGGAAGAAAGGCAAGAAAGCAATATTGTCAGACGTGGAGTTCTCTACTTACACTGCTCCCACCTGATTAATACCTCAGTGCTTAGTAGTTCTCAGACTTGAGTTTACACCACAATCAGATGGAGTCCTTGTCACACCACAGATTACTCTACCTCTCCTATCCCCCAGAGTTTCTGTGAGTTTACACATCTAATGAGCTCTCAGGTGATGCTAATGCTATTCATTGAAGACACAATTTGAGAGGCACTGCTGGTTGCCCATTTCTTCAGACTTGTTACCTTGGATTTGGAGTCTCTGTTTCCAGTTTATGATCTCACAATTTTTCAAAACTTCTTGTGATTTTTGAGGGTCTTTGGAGAATATACGATATACATTTGTGTATGAGTCCATGTCGTCTGTCATCTCCTGTATAGGGTGGTGAGAGGTCAGATCATTCCCTTGAACTTTTTCTTCACCTCTCGCTGATTGTAATTATCAGAAAAATGAAAATTGAAAGGAAATTTTTAACACTGGCCCATGATGGCTGCAGTTGGGCACACGGACAATAAAACCCAGGCCTATAAGCTACTGCTGACCTCTTAACTGTGTAACTGGAGTTTGTTAAATATTTAACACTGACAGGTACTGGTTATAAACCTGCTTATCAGATGCATAACAAAAACAGGATGAAAGCAGTCACCCTCCACCAGGCCTTAAGATACCTCACCTTTCTTCCTACCCACTCAACTGCACAGTTACCTTATTTTATATATAGCATCACTGAGAACCCAGCAGAATCAAAGGAATGCAACAATTTCTTCTCTCCCTGCTTCACTTACCCCGTTTGCCATGCGTACCCCCCTGCTATATATACTGTGCCCCATGTAACCTCCTGTGGGACATATTCTGGGTTGAACTGAGTCTGTGTTGCTAGGATTAAGTCCTTAAACTTGGATCAGAATAAATTTAACTGGGAATTCTCTAAGTTTTAGGGCCTACTGTATTACCAGACACCTAGAACCTACAGTGTCCTAGAATCTACAGTGTCCAGGGCTTGAGCAAGATACTTTAGTGAATATAAACATTAAGGAGACATTGCCTTTTCCCAAGGCTACAGGATATCAACCTATTCGAAGAGTGACATTGCTTTTACAAAATAGAATGAAGTAACTGAATTTTTGGTAGCACTCTGCATAATTTATGTGGTGTTAGACTCAAGGGTTTGAAAGAAAGAGACTCATGATCCCATTCTGGCAAGCCACAAACTTCATGGGACGATGAGTATCTGTTTCTCAGGGGAAATATAAACAATAAGCGTGAGAGTTTTAGCAGTGAATGTATTAATATTATGTTGAAAATTATATTGTTAAGAGTAAAATGGAGGATAGTGTAAGTAATTTTAAAGAAACCTTCAAGAATTTGAGGGTGCTTTTATAAATGCAAGTTCCTGAATATGGCCAAGACCGACACCTCAGTGACTTTAAAAGAGTAGATGTTTTAAAAGACCCGATTTTAAAAGAATGACTGAAAATAGCCAAGTAGATAGTCAAGAAATTATAAAAAGAATATCAAACTAGAAAATAGCAAATGGAACAATTTGTAAAAATGAAAGCCATAATTAATGAATTGTAGAACAAGACAGAGTGCAAAGGATATATAAAGCCAAAACTTCATTTTTAATTGGCAAAAATAGAAAGAGGAGAGAGAGAGAGAGATAAACTTCTGGTAAGGGTTTTGAAGGAAATACATGAGAAAGAGAAAAAAGAAAAAAAAAAGGCATGGCGTATGAGCTCTGAGAATGGAAATAGAAAAGAAAAGAAGACTTATAATAGCAGATTATATACTACTCCAAGGCAACATATTTACTGATAAAGAAATGGATGTTATCCCTCAAGAATAAACTATCAAAATTGACTTTCACAAGATAGAAAACTTCTACAAACTAATAGAAAATATCAGAAATTGAATTAAACAACTACCATTTGAAAAGTGAACAATAATGATGGCCTCCATCTCCATCCATGTTGCTACAAAGGACAATATTTTATTCTTTTCTATTGCTGTGTAATATTCCATAGGAATATACATACCAAGTTTTTTTTTTTTTTTTAATCCAGTCTACCTCTGATGGGCACCTGGGTTGATTCCACGTCTTTGCTATTGTGAACAGTGCAGCAATGAACATACTAGTGCGTGTGTCATTTTGGTAGAATGATTCATTTTCCTTTGGGTATTTATCTAGTAATGGCATTGCTGGGTCAAATGGCAACTCTGTTTTAAGTTCTCTAAGACATTTCCAGACTACTTTCCACAGTGTGATAATCCTAAGCAAATTAATGATGTAACGGAAAATCAAATATCACATGTTCTCACTCATAACTGGGAGCTAAGCATTGACCATACATGGACACAAATGTTGGAACAATAGACATTGTGGACTCTACAGGGTGGAGGGAAAGGGGCTGGCTTAGAAAACTACCTATTGGGTACTATGCTCACTACCAGGGTGATGGGATTTGTCTGTACTCCGAGACTCAGCATCATGCAATATTCACATGTAACAAATCTGCATATGTACCCACTTTATCTAAAAGGAAAGTTGAAATTAAAAAATAAAAAGTAGCCAAAATCAGATTATTTTACATTTAAATTCTACATAAGCCAAAAACAAACACATAATTTTAATAGTAGACGTTGGTAACAGATGAAAAGATCCTAATTCCAAATCTGGTAAAGAAACAACAAAAAGAGAGTTACTGACCATATTGGCTTTTGAATACAGATGCAAAAATTCTGAATAAAATATTCAGTAGCATATGAAAAGAATGTGAACATGAACAGTTTGTTTTAGAAAGGCCAGAATGACTCTGATCAGAAAAGATCTCTTAGTGTAATAAATTAAAGGAGAAAATAATTACATGAGTATACAAATTGCCACAAAAAGACAAAAATGAAATAACATAAAATTTGCCCTTCATTCTAAATATAATTTCTGTGAAAGTAGGAACAACAGTAAAGTGCTCTAGTGAAGACAGAATTAAATGCAATTCCAAATGTAAGTGGTTATAGCTATTTCATTAAAATCAGGAATGAGACAAGGATAGAACTATTATTATGGTTAGTTGGTATTGTTTCTTAGGTTGTGCATTATTCAGTAAGGCAAGAAACTAAAAACCCATACAAATATTGACAAAGAAGCAGCAAATTACTTTGTTTGTAGATTACAGTATTACACATTTAGAAAATCCAAGAAACTTCAACAAAAACAAAAACAAATAACACAAACAAACAGGATTTTAAAGAATAGTGTGACATATTTGGAAATCAACAGTATAAATAGAAAGAAATCACAAAATAATAATCCTCAGAAATAGAAAAGGAAAAATAATTTAAGAATCTTAAAAAAATTTATAAAATATCTGAGGGTAAACTTAATGGGAAATCACGTAGTTTACCACAGGAAAACATTAATATTTCACCAGATGGCATAGAACACAAAGTGAAAAACATGAGAGAAAGACCATATTTATTGATAAAAATATTTAGTATCACAAAAATATTAATCCTTCCACAATTGTCTAAAAAAGCTCCTCCAATACAAGTCACAATTGCAATAGTTACTTGGGGTAGTTGGGGAACTGATAATTTAGTTTTTGTTCATATAGCTCTTAAGTTTATAAGAAATAGGAAAGTAAGAAAATGATTAGTGAAGTGTGATTTGCTTTATTAGATACTAAAACTTGCCACAAGACAGAGAAATAGCATGAGAAAAGACTAGAAACAAATACAAAAATAGCTACAAAATATATAAAAGTGTTATATGACAAAATAGACATTTATGTTTCAGTAGTGGAATGATTTATTTACTAAGTAGTACTGACATAATTAGCCAGCCATAAGGGAGATAAATATAAAAGAATGTTAATTCATGCTATTCAAAAATATATTCCAAATAGAATGAAGTTTGAAACGTCAAAAGTAAAAATTAATTTACTGTAAGACAAAATACAAAAAACTTGTATGATCTTGGATTAGGAAAAATCTTCCTAATTATTAACGAAAAAAAAAAGAAAAAAACAAAGCCTCAGAAATCATAGTGAAAAACATAATGTATTTGATTACATGAAATTAAAAATTTCTTCATGTGGAAATCTCTATCAATAAAATAGAAACTAATTCTAAATTGGGCAACAAATTTGTAGCATACACCTTGTGTTAGTATCCCCAGTATCCAAAACACATAGAGAATTTTAAGAATGACACATAAACCCCTGCGTAAAAATGATCAAACAATATAAACAATTTAGAAGTAAACCCCAAATGACTGACAAACATATGAAAATATATGTTGAATATCACTAGTCAGGGAAATGCAAATTAAATCTACAATAAGATGCCACTTTTCACCCACCAGTTTGGCATAAACTAAAAGATGGATAACATTCAGTGCTGGTGAGAATGTGGGAAACAATTCTTCCACAAATTGCTGATGGAAATAAAGCTGTGGAATCCTTTGGGAAGGTAATCTGGCAGTGCCTACTTAGGATAAGATAAGCTCTGACTTGAAGGTATCCCTTTTGGAAATCAATTGTACGGAGAAAAGTTTCCAGGATGTCAAGACATGTATACCAGGATGTTTACTGAAGCACTGTTTGTAGTGGCAAAGAAGTATGAACAATTTGAACCCAACAGGAGGAGAATGACTGAATAGCATTGCATAGACTCTATGGAATGCCACAGTTATTAAAACGAATACGTTAGTGCTGTATTGATTCACTCAAAGCAATGTCCATATGTCAAGGGCAAATTAAAAAGTATGACAGAAGAGATCATAAGTGAATATTCGTTTGTGTGTTAATATGGGCAAGGACACTGATTACCCCAAGGGGTAGAAATGGAGGAGAGGAGGGGAAAGGAGGTGAGGTGTTATTAAATTCTTAAAATCATGCTGGATTTTTCCACTTGTATAATCAGCATATATTATCTTTGTGATTAAAAACCAACAAAGAAAAAGTTAAGTTTTTCCTACAAAAATTCTCCTGCATCTCACCCTAAAAAGTTCTTACTCAAAATCGCATTGACTTTCAATACTGAAAGAAATGTGTTATAATATGGAATCAGACTAGATGAATGTATTTCCAAGTAAATTGCAGCATACTTCATTCTTTCCATTTTTTTGGTCACATATGTGTGGCATGGAACTTCTATATTTTAATATTTTTGTTTATTGACTCACTTTTTTTTTTTTTTTTTTTTTGAGACGGAGTCTTGCTCTATCATCCAGGCTGGAGTACAGTGGCACAATCTCGGCTCACTGCAACCTCCGCCTCCTGTGTTCACGCCATTCTCCTGCCTCAGCCTCCTGAGTAGCTGGGACTATAGGTGCTCGCCACTATGCCCGGCTAATTTTTTGTATTCTTTAGTAGAGACGGGGTTTCACTGTGTTAGCCAGAATGGTCTCGATCTCCTGACCTCGTGATACACCCTCCTCGGCCTCCCAAAGTGCTGGGATTACAGGCATGAGCAACCACGCCCAGCCTATTGAATCACTTTATAAAAACTAGCCTTGTTCAAAGCAATGCATATATGAAGTTACGGTTTAATGGTACAGTTACGTTGCTACAATACACATAGCAACTACAAAGTTACTGAAGTAAAAATATTTGACTTCGTACAGTTATTTAGCATATCACGCTTTGAAGAAATTGGACCATGGATTAAATAAACTGAGCATTAATCTTCGATCCCACATTGTCAGGAAGCCAGGAGATCAAAAGAACTCCCTGGGGAAGGTGTTAGGCTCAGCTTATTATTATTTGGGGGCTCAGCATCTATAACCACATGAAGCTGGGCTGGCCATGAGGCTTCAGTTCACTAACCAGATGTGCATGAAACAGACGCAAAAAGGGAAAGTCTTTAGGGCAAAAAAATAGACCTAGGTTTGTATTACTATTTCAGCTTAATCGTGTATTCCTTGTGTGTCCTCAGCCAATAATGGCTAATTATGGCAAATACTATTTAGAATTATGTGCTATGTACTAAGGGTTTGACATATGGTTTCTCATTTATCTTGAGATTACCTTGAGTAATCCTCTGAAGAAAGTCCTCTTATTTTTCCCATTTTAACAGATGATAAAACTCAAAGAAGGGCCTATGGTTATATAGCGAGTAAAAGTGGCAGAGTCCACTGAACTTGAATTCAGATTGGGCAATGCTTTAACATCTGGTATCCAGCAGCTACATGACTCAATATTTCTCAGTGTGGTTTCCTTATCTCTAAATTGAAGATATTAATGCTCACTTCATAAAATTGTTCTGAGGATGACAGTCACTAATGAGTGAAGTGCTTCCACATAGTTGACACACAGTAATTTTGTGTCCCTTCCCTGGTTCCTGAGAAGTAACTTTTTTTTTAAGACAGGGTCTCACTCTGTTGCCCAGGCTGGAGTACAGTGGTGTGATCTTGGCTCACTGCAGCCTCGACCTTCTGGGGCTCAAGCCATCCTCCCACCGCAGTCTCCTGAGTGTCTGAGTATAGGCATGCGCCACCACACCCTGCTAATTTTGTTTATTTTTTGTAGAGATGAGGTCTCACTATGTTGCACAGGCTGGCCTCAAACTCCTGGCCTCAAGCAATCCTTCTGCCTTGACCTCCCAAAGTGCTGGGATCACAGGTATAAGACACCATGCCTGGCCCTGAGAGGTAATTTTACTGGTCGACTTCTGGTTTGGTTTTTGTTTTTAAGTCACTGTTCTGATATCTCAGACACCCAACTTTCCCTGTAAAGTGGCCTCCATTCAGCCCCTGCAGGTAACCCCTGCCACCTCAAAGGGCCCTTAATCTGTGAGCGTCAGCCTTGTCCTTTTGCTCCCCTTCCCCCTCGAACCCTTTCTCAAATGTTTTATGCTTTAGAGGAAGAATAGGAATATGTGGCACTCATGTAAGGTGCCAAGTACTGAAGAAGTGTTTTAAAATACTCACTTTTCCTTTCACCCTATAAAAGCAGCCCTGGTGTCTGAACTGGTCAGTTCCTCAGGCCCTTTGGACCTGCCTGGATCCACCAGTCCCTGTCTGTATGCTTACCTGTTTTTGAGGCCGGATAATAACCATCTGATAGTCGGGCCAGGAGTCCACCAACACCTCCATGTTGAAGGGGTTCCCGTGATTGATGTGATACACAGAGCCGTACACCTGACAGAGGGATGAAAGGGAATAGGAGAGGTTGAGATTCCCAGAGATGGGGATCTGGATGTGAAGAGGAAGAGAAAAATGGAGGTCAAGAGACAGTACTGGGACCAAGACAGTGAAGGTGACATGAGCAGCATCTCCAGGACCATGTTGATGGATGTGAAATCACCAGCAAGCAGGCAGAACTCACAGGTAGGTGTCCTTGTGATGCCAAAGAGCTACTGTGCACTAGCTGGGCACTTGGCAATGCTCTTAGCACTTATAATGTATGAATTTATTTAGTGTCCACAACAACTTTAAGAGGTAGGTGCTAATATTTTTCCAATTTTATTGATGAAAAGACCAAAGGTAAAGGCACAGAAAGGTAAAGAAACATGCACAAAGCAATCCGACACTCCCATTGTTCCCTCACCTTCAGGGACTCAGGGATGCTCCTGGCCAAGGATTTGTATAGGGCCAGCAGCTTCTGGGAGTTATCCAGTAGGATCATATTGTGGGATGCTTCAGACCTTGAGCCCTTCAAGAAGAAACTCTGAAAAGAAGTGAAGGGAAAATGGTAAGAGACCAAATGTGTAAAATGTACTTTATACATTTCCGTTGAAGTAGCACTCATGATGCAGATACTGTTAGTGTCGTCTTCATTTGGAATACACCAAAGCTCAGAGAGACTAAGTAAATTTCTCAAATTCTTACAGAGATAAATGCCAGAGTCAGATTTTGAAACCATATATGAATGACTCCAAAACCCATGCCCTTCCTCCCTGCTGGAATGAAGAATCCCATTTTTACCTAAAATATTGGGTTTACTCTCAGCTTCTCTTGATTAACTTAGCCAATGATTTTTTCCCACCTAGGTGCACAAGAAAAATGAAACAAAGGGGGTAGAACACAAACATCCCTGTGAATTTTCAAACGCCAAATTTTATAACTCCTACAATGTTACTGCTTACTACCAGTTCTTTCTGACCCAGTGAGATGTAAGAGGCCTTTAACTGGATCCAAGCCAGTTAATTCCAAGACCACATCCGTTCCTAGACCCAGTCCATTTTCTGTTGTGACTCCAAACCCCCAAACCCAGTTTGGATCAGAAATTTGCTCAAAGCAACTCAGAGAGCTCAAAACACAAATGTGTGAAGCTCCAAAATGCGAGAGGGAGCTTACTTATGATCCTCAGCCACTCTGAGAGATCAATGGACACAGTGGATCATGCCGGTACCTTTCGTGTTTACTCAGTGCTCCTGGAGATACTGGAAGCTCCACTTCAGATCCTGCTTCTGACACCGTCTGATAAGAGAAAAACTTCAGCTGAATTAAATTTAAAGGCATTTAATTGAGCAATGAACAATTTGTGAATCAGGCAGCTTTCAGAATCACAGCAGATTCACAGAGGCTCTGGGGGTTGCCTCGAAGTAAAAACCAATTTATAGACCAAAAAAAAAAGGTATAGTGACATACAGGAACCGGAAGTGGGGTACAGAAACACTGAGATTGGTTACAACTGGTCGTTTGCCTTATTTGAACACAGTTTGAACAGTCAGCAGTCTGTGAGTGGTTGAAGTATGGCTGCTGGGATTGGCTAACACTCAAGTATTGTTAGAGGTGCACACTACTAGATTAGGTTTTCAATCTTGTCTGATTATTAAGGTAGGTTACAGTTCACCCACAAGGACTCAAATGAAGAAGTACAGAGTCCTTCTCAGGCCATATTTAGTTTGCTTTAACACTTTGTAGCAAAATTCACTGGAAGGATTGTCCAGACATGCTATCTCCAAACCCCCTCCCAATCTTATCTAATTGAGATTTTGCTGGTACCATTCTACTGAAACACTTTTTAAAGCCATCAGTGATCTCTATGTTATTAAATCCAATGGTCAATTATTGCTTCTCATCTTAAAAGATCATCCTTTAATGGACTTTCTTCAGTTGGTTTCCAAGACAACACTGTCTTGGTTTCCTTTATCTTCACTGGTTACTTCTTCTCAGTCTCCTCAGTGGACCCTTCTTTTCTACCCAGTTTCTTAATTTTGGATCACTTCATGGAGTCCAATCATTGGTCCTCATTTGTATCCACACGTACTCCCTTGTTATCCCATCTGGTCCCATGGCTTTAAAATCAATCTACCTGCCAATGACTAACACATTTATATTATTACTCAAACTCCTTTACAAACTCAAAACATATATATCTATTGGCCTCTTCGATGTCTCTTGAATTCCATCCAATAGCCATCTCAAACTCATTTTGTCTCTGATCAGACTCCTTATCCACCCTCTCCACCCAGGCACCTTCACTGGTAGTCTTTCTCAACTTAGTGGATGGCAACTCCATCTTTTCACATGTTCAAATAAGAACGCTTGAAGTTATTCTTAAGTATATTTTCCCCTTTCACTTTACATCCAATACATTATGACATCCTCCTAATTCTGGTTGGGAGAAAATTATTCATGACCTCTCCCATTTCTGTATGTTTTAGGAGCAGAGACATTGACAGCCTTTGCTGCTAAGTTTTCAAGGATGTTTGTAAAGAGGACAGCTTGGTAGCTAGAGATATTGCTTTCTTCTGAAGTGGAGGGCAGGTTTGCTTACTGTTCAGTATGAGAAAGATAATGTCTGTGTCTGGAGCAAATTTCAGACAGCTTTGCTTGCAGCACATTATAAAACATCTAGGCTCCCTAAATTCAGGGTTCCTTGGCTGCCACACACATCTGTTGCATTTGCAACATTAATCTGCTTTTCTGTATTTCCTCTGTATGACTTGTGGAGCCAGGAGGACGGACACAAACACAAAAATCTTTCTCCCTGTTTAGTGAGTCATAAATTAGTGTCTTTGACCCAGGAAGTTTGTGTCACCTGCCAGCATTTACAAAACAGTGCCCCAAGTAGGGCAAACTTTTAGATGCTTCACAGTTCTTGGCAGTGTATTCTGGATGGAGAATGTCTTTAGTCTTTTATCAGTGGAGAACCAGAATGCTCCTTTTAAAACAAAAGCCAGATTTCATCATCCCTTTGTGCAACTCCTGCAGTAACTCCCAATCGCATTCAGAGGAAGAGATATAAATCCCTATAACAGCCCTCTAAGCTCTCCATGACTTAGACTCTAGTCACCTCCCTGACATCCCCCCAGTCACATCCGTGACCTTACTCTCTTTGGCCACTCTGCTTCAGGCACTTGGCTGTCATTTTTCTTTTGCCTGCATTCTGTTTTCTCAAAAGACCTGGAGAAACCTCTATTATCTTCTTTAAGTCTTCACTTAAAGCCACCTGCTCAATGAGGCCTCCTTTGACCATCCTATTAAAAATTACAACTGCTCCCCTAGTCTCTCTGCAATGCTCCTGTGCCCCATTGTCATTCTCTGCCTGTTTTCATTTTTTGTTGACAGGGTCTCACTCTGTCACCCAGGCTAGAGTGCAGTGGCTGAATCATGACTCACTGCAGCCTTGACCTTTCAGGCTCAAACAATCCTCCCACCTCAGTCTCCTGAGTATCTGGGACTACAGGCATGAATCACTGTGCCCAGCTAATTGTTTTATTTTTATTTTATTGGGATGGGGGGATCTTTGCCTCCCATACTGGTCTCATAATCCTGTTTATAGTTTTATAACCTTCCGTGCCAAATTCTGATGCCTTAAAATATCTAGCAGTGAGAAATATAAAATCCAGACAAAAATGTATGTTGACAATTCTGAAGACATTTCTATTTTTATTTTACAATAATTTTAATGATAGCTTGCTAAAGATTTCCTTAAGTAACATGAACATGAAAAAGACTTTGGACTTATTAACTTAATCTATGAGCACTCTTTTATTTATAAGTCAATTTTGTAGTGACAACATATAACGTAATACATGTGCCTACACATAAACACATCTAGATGCATATACACACAAAGACCCAATAGCGTTTACCTGGGAACTAAAGCTATAGCAATACAAACTTACCAGTCTGCAAACATGTCCACATGGCTGAACTTGGTTAACCTTGATAGGTAATCCACTGAAGGCTGTGAATCAAAATTTTGGGTAAAGCCGTTTCTGTGGCAGTTTAATCTTTAAAGGCCAAACTTCTCCAGACTCCAAAGAACACGGGTCAAACAGCACCACAGGAGAACACCACATACTAACCTGGTCCAACAGCAGCACAAAAGCCTGGATACATGGAATTTCAATCCGCTTTCCCATTCAATAGCAACTCCAAATTCAAACTATACTGGTGCCAAACAGTCTTACAAAAGAGTTATCAGTTTATCAAATTCTAATTTCCCATGACTATGCAAACAGACACATGCAAACAGTCACTAAAACACTATACAACTGCTTCAGGATCAAACAGCCCCAAAAGTGTGCAAACTGAAAGAGTTGGGGTGCTTCATCTCTCCATTGGTTAAACTCAATAAACCTGTAAGTGAAAATTCCTTCAGAATTTCTCAAATGGAGAGGAGCTGATCCCATTGTCTGGTACCCACAAAAGACACTCACTTGCCTGGATACACATACAATGAAAAGCCCCCAAGGGTGTCCATACTGGAACAATCAGGGTACTTCCCTCTCTTCATCAGTTGGGCTTCTTCAACCTGCAAGTGGAAATTCCTTTAAAAATTTCTCAAATTGAGAGGAGCACATCCTTCTGTCTGAGCCCACAAAAGACAGTCACCTCTCTGGATGTCAAATTTCAAAGGCAGTTTTTCCAAGGCAATCAGGAACATGGAGAGAGAGGGAACTCATCTCCAGCCAATATTGGGTAAGTAGCTGCTTAGGAGAGCTTTGAGACTCCTGGTCCATGGCAGGCGAGCCAAAGTGTTCCTGACTGGAGAATCAAAATCTTACTGAAACACCAGGGGTGTGGTCTAGGTCCTGCAGCTCACTGCACAGAAAACCAATCAATATCACCGCCAAGGAAGAAGACTGAATTGGATGCTGTAGCAGAGGCGATGGGAGCTCAGTCTCAAATCAATCTCCCTGAGCAACTAAAATTAGGAGTTTACATAGCAGGGAAGAAATGTAACAATGTGTAGCAAAACAGGAACTCAGGAGACCTAAGGAAGCAATCATAATTTATGAGAAGCCTGGTGTCCCATTGTCTGAATGGGATCATCTGATGAGTTTCAATTCTTTGATGCTTTTTGAGGGAGGTAGGTGTCCTTTACTAAGGAAGAAATTCATATAAAACAAATGAAAGTTTCAAGCTTTAAGACCAGAGAGGTGAATTTCTATGTTTATGCAAAAAACTATCTACGGGACTACAAGGGAGGTTTCAATCCAGTGCCAGTGCTAGCTCCAGTCTGCCTCAAATCTGCCTATTCTTCTGGCAAACTCTGTGTCAGGACCTTGGCCAGGAGAATAGCTTCCTCTCCCATCTGTGGGCTCCTCTCCCATCTGTAGGGCTGCTGAGCTTGGCAGTTTCTTAGACCACTTCAGTTCTGAGCAAACTTTCAGACCAGCTCTGGAGTCTCTCTAGAACTCAGCCCGTGCTTATAAGGTGCAGTGGGATAAGGCTGGAACTAGATGCCTTCCTCTCAGAAACACAAGCTATCTGACAGAGTGGTTACTCTTTAGGACTACAGCAGGGGATTCTCCAAGTCCACTTCTCTGATGTGTCTAGTCTGTGGATCAAAACGGAAAGGTTTAGCCTTATGTGTCATGGCCTCAGACTCTCTGGGCCTGGCTCAGTTCTGATATCAGTCCCACCATACTCAGTATTAGTCATAAGTGACTTCCCGAAACACTCATGGCAGCTTGGATTCTGGGACAGACATGGGCTTTCTGAATGGAAGCAATGAATTCTGGTTTCACAGGTGCTGAGGTTATGCTACTCCGCTTTGGGCTTTTCAGGCTGTGTGAGAGACCTGTGATTCTAGGCATCTCCAGCTGGCTACCCCTGAATGTTCTTCCGTCGTTTGGGAGTCTGCAGGTACATCATGAGGTCATGGGGAGTAGACACCTAGGAGAGCCATTTGCGCATGGCCCCACTTTCAGAGAGGGTCCCAAATTTGAGATTTCAGCGTTATCACCCAATGGTACAGAAACGCAAGACAGAATGGAGGAAACACTTTCACCATAAATTACACACTGCCAAGAGTCCACTCTGAATTAATTAATGTTTTTTAATTCTTGTTATGTTCTTGTGAGTAGAACAATAGTATTGCATGGCATTTTTGTCATCATAAGCATTCATTTATAAAATATACACATTTTAAAACTATTATCAATGTTTTGGTCTATCTTTGTTGGTATACTTTGTACTACAAAATGGCAATGAGCTGGCCATCTTTGAACCCCTGTAACACCCTGAAACTCTTGTTCATGGCAGAGAATGGGGACTGCATGGCTATGGGTCTATGGGAGGCTGGTGGAGCCTCACCCTCTGAGTACTCTAACAATGGGTCAAGGGTCACTGGGATGCTTCATTCATATCCATGTTCTTCATTAACCTTTAGCAATGTGCAACTAGGATGCAGCAGCCATCTTAGGAAGACATCTGATAGCTGTTGGCACCTATCCATAAAATCTTAAAACTTTCTAGGGTTTTTGTGGAGACTTGCCTTTATGGGCAAAAATACTGACAGCACCAATTTAAATGGATCCCAGAAAAGGATGAGGGTCTCTGGAGTTTGAGATAAACAACATTCTGCCTCTGTAGAGAAAACCTTGACACCAAGGTAGAATCTTGAAGCTTTTACAGAGGAAGAAAGGGGATGTTTAGGTACTTCCTGGAGACAGCAAGTCATGCCAAACTGTTCTGGGTTGGTGATGAGGTTTCAATGCCTCCAGAGAAATCAGAAAGTGGTATATGGTTTTAGTTAGATCAGGGAATTGGGAAGGTGTAGGATCCACAGGACACACTTTCTTGGTTTGGGCATCCTAGAACATTTTAAAGCTCTCTGATATGTTCTAGTTCTCTTAGAGTCTGAAGAAGAGAAAAACAGAAACTTTGGCTATACTATGAATCAATAGGGGACTCTCATTATTGCTCCTAAATATTTTCCTTCTGATTTTTTAATCTCCTGTTCCCGATTTTTTCTACCCCAAATTCAGCTTTCATTATTTGCTTAGTCCCTGCTAATGCATTCTCTAAATCCGTGTCCTAAAACTGTGGTTAAGAAAGACACCCTATGCCTTCTTTCTTTATCCTTTGTGACCAAAAAGCTGATCTGGGCACCTGCCTAACTTCCTGAAAGAGAGGAAAATCACATGGGAGGTATATTAGAGATTGTCTAGTCTCAAGAAACTAAGTCCTGGAAAGTGGACACATGATTGCATGTACAAAACTGAGAACCCAGACGTTCTGTATCCTAAGCCATTGTTCTTTGTTTTGTAAGATTCTGGTTTCTGCTTTGTGGTGAATTTTGCATATTGTGCCTCCAGATATTTCATCGTGATTTCTTCCTCTTGAGACTTCAGTTAAATTAGTTTACACAAATATTTGATCTGGAAACTGTTCTCTCCCTCTACCCTGGTACTGGTTTGAATATCTCGAACAACAAGTTCTATTATGTTAAGGAAAAGTTTGATTGATTCATCATGAAATGTGTTTTTTCCCCTTTCTAGCCCAACATATTATTTCTCTAATTATACTTATCATCAGAAAATGTGGAAGTTCAGTAACCATCAGAAATCTGAAATACAAGTCATACTTCATGGAGAATGACGCCAACAGTATTTTTCCTGTATTGCATTTATCTTTTTTTTTTTTTTTTTTGTAAAACTCCTTAATTGAGGTACGATTGACATACAAAAAGCTGTATGTGTTTAATGTATAAACCTTGATGCATATAGAGAGGAACACATACTCATGAAAGTATGACCACAACCTATGTCATAAACATACTCATCACCTCCAAAAGGTTTGTCTTCTCTATTTTTTATCTTTATTGTGCGTATGTATGCTTGTGTTTGATAAGACCATTTAACATGAGATCTGCCATCTTTCTTTCCAAATTGGCAGGAGACCTGTCTCTGATGCTGCTGAGGCACTTTAAAAATCACTATATAGAAAAAGTGGATGCTGTAAAACTGGACATCAGCAAAACGTCAGAATGGGACTTTCTAGCACTTATCCTCATACAGAAACATCAATTTAACCTACTAGCTGTGCAATTTAACTACTATCCTGTGAAATACCTTCACAGGAGCTAAGTAAACCAGGTGAAATGGTACAGAATCTTTGTGTAGCAGAGAAATAAGAAAAGATGAATTGAAGAGCATAAGAAGAACAATTTCACATTACCTGTGTCACCCCTGCCACAACACCAGGCAGCAGAGCACAGAGAGAGGCAATCTTTGTGTGGAAGAATAAAAGGGAAGTGGGCACTGAACTTTGCCTTGGACTCCAACACAGAGCCTGCTTCAGTAAAATCCAGCAATAGGTATGCCCCTATGGCCCCAAACTCTAGGCTGGTACCTGCAATCTAAGCCAGAGCAGATCCCATAGCCCAGGCTCCAGGCTTGCCTGGTGGACTTGGGTTTTGGGTATATCCTAATGTCAGGTCTACCCCAGTGCCGTAGGTATCAGATTGTCCCTGGACCAGGGCAGCCACAGTGACTCCAGGCTCCAGACTACTCCCAGGACCAGGCTTGCCTCCACAATTCCAGGTTTCAGACGTAGCCAAGGACCAGGCTGGCCTCTGCAACTTTAGTCACCAGACCAGTGTCCATAGATCCAAGCTATAGGCTGGCCCCTGTGGATACAGGATCTAGGGCAGCGTGGCACTAGGCTAGCCCCAGCGGTCGAAGGCCCCAAGTCGACCGTAGGTTTCAGTTCAGCCCAGAACTAGACTGTCTCACACAAATCCAGGATTCAGGCACACCCCAGTTCAAGGTTGGCAGCCCTAGACCTATCCCTTAGCCAGGTATCTGGCAAGCCTTGACAGATCCATGCTCCAGGCCTGCCTAGGGCTAAGGGAGTTTCTGCCACCCCACTCTCCAGGCTAGTTCCTTGATCCCATGCTCCAGGAGACCCAGGGTCCAGGCCCTTCACAGTTGACTCCAGTATTGGGCTGGTGCCTACAGACCCAGTATCTAGGACTGCCTCTGTGGACCTAGGTTCCAGTATACTTCCTACAGCCCTAGGACCCAGACAGTCTTTGTAGAGTTAGTCTCCATGCCAGCTTCTGAAGACCTTGTTTCTAGGCCAGATCTTACATACCCAGCCTCCAGACCATTCCCCAGACTGTAGGCCAGCCCCTGTGGCTACAGGCACCAGTCTAGCACCTATGGTCTCAGGCTCTAGACTGGCCCCACCTGACCCCAGCGCTAGGCCAGCTTCAGGCTCCAGAATGGGTTTTGTGACCCAGGATCCAATATACTCAGGTCCTAGCTGTGCTCTAAGCATACCCAGGTAAAGGCCGACTTCACTAGACTCTGATGCTAGGCTGACCATCTTGGACCAAGGCTCTACGACCATCTCTGAAGACTCAGGCTCCAGGTGAGCCCCTGTCTACCAAGATCCCAGGCCCATTTCTCCAGATTCAGGCTCCAGTCCTGTACCAGTACCAGGCCAGTCCCCATGGACTCAGATTCCAGGCTCATCCCAGCAGACTCAGACACTAGGCCCATCCCAAAACCTGGCCAGCTG